TCTAATAAGCAAGGCCTTCTGTTATAGCTGAGGTTCAAAATGTCAACCATATCTGAAATATAAAACAAATCAACAGTTTCCAAAATAACAACAGCAAAGCTGCTGATGCTTATGAAGCACACCCATCAGCCCCACTTAAGGGACACCGAGGCATCCCTATCTCAGACATGGCCGTGAGGCAGCAAAGGAATGGAATAAACTGCATCATAATATACAAGGCCAGATGATGGAGTGACACTTAGAAGTTGAGTGTCTTTCATAGGAAATGAGGATTACTCTTGGCATAGAGACATTTGGATCTCCTTTCTCTCCTGAGGACACAGCTATGCTCAGACCGGATTGGAATAAACATTCATCCGGGGAGAGGAGCGATGAATTGATGACTTCACCTCATACAAGACGTGATGCATCGGCACATAGGCAATTAGCACTGGACCCCTCAAACAGATGTCAACATTTGCCCTCCTGTCTTCACAGAAGTTGCAGAAGATAGAGGGCCTCAGTTGGAAACCATCTCCACTGTTTATTGACTTTATTATTCAGAGGGTGAGCTAAGTCCTCTTTGGACCTCAGCCTCTTCATTTACAAAATGAATTTTCACTGCTCACACACAGTGGCAAGATTGTGTGGAAATGTGGACAGGCCAGATCCCAGCATTGTCAAGCCTGCCTGTGTGCAGTGGTTCCTTCCTTTCCATTCACTCCCTTGTCCTTTTATGTATTCTGCTATGATGAACTCTTAACTTTTTCTTTTGAAGATAAGGTCTCCCTTTGTAGCCTAGCCTGGGCTTGAACTCTCTTCAATCCTGTTTCATCCTCCCAAGTTCTGGGATTACAGGCTTGTGCCCCGATGCCCAGCAATGAACTCTTTGTTTATAGCAGGATCCTGCTGAGCACAGAGCTGTGAACAGAACACGGCTGCGTAGCACCATCTGCATAGGCAAGAGAGCAGCTCCAGACTTGAGCAGGTGCTGGAGGAGTCCAAGGCAGAGAGGTGCTCAAGAGGGTGTGGGACAGGGAGGAGAGGGGCTGAGGTCTCTCGACCAGAGAAGTCCCCAGTGATGCCAAGGCATCTTGTGAGCTCCCCTCTGTGCCAGGCTCTGGGCACAGCACACTAGGAAGGACGCTCTGGCCACCACACTGGTGAGCTTCACCATCTAAGTGGGAGTGATGGATGTTACCTAAAGTGGTACACAGTGAGTAGATGACAAGACTGACATGGGTAGGGAACAGGGGCACAGGGCCAGGACAGCTTGCACAAGGCATCAGGGAAGGAGAGGCCTGCAGGCTCTATAGGGCTGGGCCAAGCCATCTTCTGCAGCCTCTTTTGCCAACTGGGTACCCAGTTTGGCATCTGGTCACTGGGATGAGCTGCATGCATCCCAGGAGGCAGACATCCTGTCCTCTAGTACCTCGGGTCCTTTCCCCACCATATCCTTATCTCCCTCCCTGGGCCAGCAAGGACTTAAGGAGTTCAGAGCACCAGAAGGGCCTGGGGTACAGGTGGCTGCTCTTCTCGCTCTTCTATTCCAAGTGTCTCCTCGCAGAGACATTTTCTGAGTATGGCTGTGTGTGTCCTTCTCCTTGTGCACTGCTTGTGTGGTGCTGACTGTCTGACCATCACTTGTATTCCCCCATGGCAGCAGATCTTGGTTTTGGGAACGATATTTAAAGACTGGAGCCTAAGGACCAGCATGAGCTAGGTGTGCTCCTGAGTGAGGGACAGGCTAACTAGACGATGGCGGAGGGCTCAGCTTAGGATGATGCCTCAGGTGATCACTCTCTGGATGGGGACAACCTGAGCACTGTCAGGTACTTGGCAGCATCGGGGGCCTCTGATCACCCCGTGCCACCGGCACCCCCTCCCTGTACATCTCCAGATGTCGCAGCATCATTCTCAGCTGTGGACCACCAGCCTAAGGTTTGTCGGTGCTGTGTCATGTTACTACAGTCACAGGAAAAGAAAGAATTAGAAGTCGTTTCCTGGTGAGGAATTCCAAGCAGAGCAGGGACGTGCCCTTCCTTAGAGTCAGCAGCTCAATGTGAAGACTAGTGGCTAGCCCTTGTTGGGACCAGAGATAGAGCCGGGAGCAGGCCTGAAAAACACCAGCAGTACTGGGAGCAGGGACCACCCTGGGGGCGTTGCCCTCCATGCTGTTGGCTCTGCAGCCGAGAGAGAGAGAGCTGATGAGGTACAGGGAAAGGACCCAGGACACAGGTGCTTCCTGCCGTGTCTCCAGTGCGCCGGAACCTGGGACCTGCTGTACGGATGTCTGGGCCACCGGTCCAGAGCTGGCTGCAGACCCCTGCTCCCTAGGCCTGTCTGGGGTTAAGTGGCCACGGCTGGACAAATGCCAAATAATTTAGCAAAGCTCCATTCTGAGAGTTATGTCAGCCTCCTGTGATTTTAGCTCAATTATTTCAGTCGGCATCAATTAGCACATCTAGCCTAATAATGCTCATTTTTGAAAGTGGTCCTCTTTTGTTTTATTTACAAAAACTCCGAGTAGCCCCCAAGAAATGGACTAGATGAACTGGCGCAGCCATCTGCATTACAAAAAGGTCCATTTTCGTGAGCTCCAAATTGACATATGCTTTTCCATAAATGCAGGCGGGGGAGGAGTCGTGCTAATGGCTTGTTTGCTTCCTCTCTTTCACTGTCTCTCTGTCTCTCTCTCTCTCTCATGCATAAATATGAAAGAAAAATACATCTTTTTTCTCCTGTCTCCCCCTGCCGACTCAGGGGCTTGAACACACTCATAGCTGGCTTTAGCTGCAGTCCCCCCCCCTCCCCCGCCCCGGGTCTTGGTCTCCTTTTGTCCATTACAATGCGAAACAGTCTAAGCCAAAAATTCTCACTTACGTGAGTTCTTCCCTTCCCTAAAACGGGGAAAGGGTCTTTAGGTCATAAAAATGTGGCTGAAAAGCTGAGAACACCTGGTCACACTGATCACTTAACATGATCTTTTCCAAGGGCTCCCTGCCTGCAGGCCTCTTCCCGGTGGCTCCGATGCCTCATCTGATCCGTGCAGCCCAGCCCAGAGGAATGGGCCAAAGTGGGAGAGCCTAGAGACAAAAGCCCCCCTGCACAGGACGAAGGGCTGTGGGGAAGTGGAAATGTCACTCTGCAAGGGGATGGTGGCAACCCCTGTAATCCCAGTGCTCTGGGAAGCTGAGGCGGAAGGATCTCAAATTCCAGCCCAGGCTAAGTAACAAAGTGACTGGACGAGACCCTACTGAGAGATGGAAGGGCTTGAGTTCAATCATGGACATGAAGGAAGGAAGAAGAAAAGGCATGGCATCTTAAGGCTTAGGTCCCTCCTACCACGTAGCCCCCAAGTACAGCAGCAGCGGGGCAGGGCAGCAGTAG